CACTTCTGACGTTACTTTATTAGCAGTGTATACGTAAATTCTTTATAAAGACGTAAGATGAACATAATAATTATTTCAGAAACTTTCTATTCGTTGTTCTCAGTCGACTAAAACTGCATGAATATACTGTAGGCTACACTTTATGGCAACAAATATATTGTGAAGTGTTTTATAGTCGTGACCACTGAGGTGCAGCAGGTCAGATGTGAGGACAAATACTCCCCACGGATGACATTGGCTAGTACCAGTCGTGCCATATCGTGAGTTGGCAGAAGTTGAAATTCATGAGTTGGCCATTGGATCGGGTCGCAGTGGCATAGGGGTCTACGAGCTCGCTTTGTAATCGGACGTTCTGGGTCTAGAACTCTGTGGTGGGCGCGTGCAAGTGAAGAGTCCGAAACAGGTGTCCAGTATTCCCTGTTAGTCTTCCACTAATTCTATAACCGATATCAGCTACTGATGAAATCCTGTAACCAATTCTTATCATAAAGTTCGAGATTTCTCCTAACATGAAAAAATAGTCTACCGTCATACGTTGGTGACATCTGGTTTACTAGAAGAGCAGTAATGTTTGTTGTCTATCCAGTTAGTCATCTTCATAATAAAATTGTATCAAAGAGTATTTCCTAAAAACTTGTGTTACAGTCATGTTAGACTTCACAGCCACCATCTTTCCAAAGTGACTTTCTAGTGTGTTTATAAATACAGTACTGGGCATCAAGACTTGTTCTTGTTGTTTTTATGGTCATATTTCTTCTGTGACGACTTCAGCATGTCTTCAGAGGCATATTAATGAAGTTCGGTTCTCACTAAAGCTCACAGAATTCAAAAGACATTGAGAAATATTAAAATATTAATCAAACAAAGATTATTTATGACACTATCTAAGATATCCTGAAATTAACAGACTGACAGATAATGGTTGAACAGGAATAAGAAAACCTGTAGCGTAACGGGACTTAAACCAACTACCTACAAACTTAACCTACTCTGTAAATGACCCAGAAATCAGTGCATGAATCCATCTAGTAATCAAAACTGACAAACTACCTGCTTTAAAATCGAAATGTCAAGTGATCTTCTTCCTCATTCATGGAATAAAGGTATCGTGTAACTAAGGTAGCAGTTAGTAAACAAACGTAGAGTATTCTCATCGTACCTCGTTTCACAGCAGCAGATGAACTGAAAGACACGTTATCAACCACTGGTTTTCTGAAGAAAATAAAGCAGAGTTTACTTCTGGAATGAGTTTTTCTCAGTCGATGGGATAAGTGATTCTTGCACATATCCGTCAGAGGGTCTCCACTAAATTCTAGAACCAAGAGCACAATCTTATCAATAACTACGTGCCTTAATTTATTAATGTTATGCATCTCAGATCAAATAGATGTTTTAACGTGGTGTTTAATATCAAAATACATTAAACAAAAGTATGCTGACTCAATATTTTGTCAAAATCTGAAAATTAGAAGAAATGGTAGTAAAATAATTTGCATAAACTGCCTTCTTGTGTGCATACACATATATTTCATTCACTTCACATATAAACACTATTACCGAATGTTGCTAAGTGACCAGAACTAAACAACAGTGAGCTCGACATGAGATAATATCTAATTTCAAAATAAGGTGGCATGAATTACATCATATATATATATATATATGGTTTTCTGTGACAAAGTTTTCTATCAAAAATATCTTCACTGCGTCTTAAATATACCTACAGTATTTATCTTCTTATCTCACTATGTGTGCCTACCAGCCCGCCTGCCCGTCCGCCCACACACACACACATACATACATTCATACTAGCTACTATACAATTTACCATATCTAGAATAAATTACCATTGAAGTGAAAATTACTCTACAGTGGCGTAGTGATTTGTGTTTCGCTCTGTGGGTTCATTTATAGTTTGATAGATTAACTCACTTATTGATTTTTGTTTCAGTAATGACTTTAGATGATGAATATTATTGAATAAATGAAGAAAACGATGGCAAAAATTAAACAGATAATTTTTTCATTGACTATTTAAATTTTTTAATAAACATATGCTGTCCTTAATTTAAATTAGGTAGATTAATAAAATTAACAGAAAGCGAAGTAGCTTAAAACTGAAATGACTTACTTGGAAGAAAATCCTTCTGAGTGAACAATAGTTACTAACTACAACTATACTAGTTATTAACTAGTATAATGTGTCTAGTCCTTTTGTCTGGTACAGACTCAATTTTATCAGTCACGTTGGCAATGTGTCCATATTGCCACACTGTGAGCTCGAGTATCTCAATAGTAACGTCTCTGACTGCAGCAGTGAGTGGCGTGGGTTCGAATCTCAGAAGGGACATGAGCTTCTTCAAGGCTGCATATATGCCTTGCTGACGAGTGTCAACTAGCACGAAACCTAGATCCAAGGCTTCCTGCCGACTGCCTCCAACCATCTAAGATAAACCTCTTCTCTATGTGCTACCTATAAATAGATTTAAGTATTCTATTATTATTATTATTGTTCCCTTGGGTCCCGCGTAGAACATAAGGCTTCAGCAACACATCTCCACTTTCTTCTATTTTCTACCATCCTCTTCAGTGAAAGCTATGGTTGCCCAAAATCTCTTATCTCTTCTTCACAAGATCTCCTACATGTCACCCTCGCACTGACGACCCACTTATCACTTCCCATCTGGATTCCACTCAAGGGCCTGGCGCGCGATGTCATTCAGTGGCCTCCTCAAAGTGTGCCCGATCCATCTTCATTTTTCTCTTACAAATTTGTTGAGTAATCGGCTCCTGGTCAGTTTGTTCCCACAGTTTCTAGTTACTAATTCTTTCTGGTCGGCCATTTGACTCTCAGTATGGAGCTGGCGAAGGCAGCTATTGATGAAACTTATTTTCTTATCGGTGGTCCAGCGTATTCCTGACTTCTTGCCCTCAACGGTCTGACGCATAAACTAGTCCACCACAGTTAGAAATATATTTTCTGTGCGTTGAATGTTTTTTAGCGGTTTGATTGGTTTATATATATCAGTAGCTGCGTCTTCCTTATTTTATTTCGCTTCATTTCGCTTTCTTATTTTCTTGACATAGAAACATTTATAGTTCCACTAATGTCTCTGTAAATGTGCGGATTCTACATTTGTGAATCAACAGTTGCTTGCCTATGAAAATTAGCCTTTTTATGAATGATACACATCATTGCTCAACAACTGACTTTTCCCTGACATATCTGCAGTCATAGTTATAAGTTACATAGGTGATCACTGGAAATAGTTTATTTTATTGGTAACACAATTTTCGCTTCAATGCTTTGTTTTCTCCTCGTGCTGTTGTATTATCCCGAACTCAGACGAAATATCTGTCGAATACTCACTTAAATCTCACTGTTTCTCTCACTGACTTGCATCATGTTGTGAATGTTCTGATTACAGCTTTCTGTCAGTGCTGAAACTCGGTTGGATAACCTCTCAGCTTTGTATTATATGTCACGGCTTATATCACTTTACAGGATCTTCAGGGAACTTCCTTTTGAAGTTGAACTGATGATGACTTCCGATATGTCGTTCACAGCTTATCACTGGTAAAGAATCTCATCTGAATGGTGTTTTATACTTACCCAATAGGGAAAATAATTCAATACTAAAAAATAAACCATCACTGGAGAAATATTCATTAAGTTAAGAAATTTGGTCTTATGAAAGTGTTTTGACATCTGTGAGAAGATGGTAACAAATTTTAGTTCCAGCCAGTCACAACAACAGAACGAAATTCACTCTGTAGATCAAACCAATAGAAATCATTAGAAAAATTACATCATACTGAAAATCCACATTTAAGTAGTATGGCATAAATTTGACGAAAAGTTTCCAAATAATTTCGTCATTGATCTAAACATTTTGGAATACTGGATCCAATTATGATGTGTCATTATTATGCTCTGGAATTGTGGTGGGATTTGAATTTGTCAGTTGTCCATCTTTAGCACTACAAAACAGTACAAAATGATTTTTCGCCCACAACCTACTGCTCATTAATAAATCTAAGTAGACACTTATCGCGATAATTAACTATCATAGTTCATTAATTCTTAATTATTCTCGCTTGCTGATAATCGATCTTGTTATCCTTTTTATATTTTTATCCGGCGTACCAGGCGCTGATTTATTAAGTAGGGTGATAGCAGTCATTCAGTCTTTAAATAAAATGATATCGTTCATTTTTTGTAGCTCTGTCTCATTCTGTCGGGTAATTATATGTTTCCGCTTCGATAGAATAAGGCAATGCTACTTTCAAGTTACGTTTCTATCTAGCTAGCTTCAGAATATTTCATTACTCTGTTTCTCATAGTAGGGGATTTCTGGGTATCGGTAATTAAATGTCAACCAATATGGATAATGCGTCAGTCCAGTAGTATTCGTAATTCATCCACTAACGATGCTTAACACAACACTGTTTTGTGCAGTGTTGAAGGTTAGGGGTCTGTGAACAAGAGGCAAGTTTCTTGTTTGTTTGATTAAGCTCAACAGCACAATGTGGTAGGAAATTCAAGGATTTTTATTTCACAGTGAGAACTTTAAGTCATTTCTCTCAGTGTGTTTAATACAGATATAATACCATGAAGGAAAACTCTTCACGGACGTAATCATTTAGAGTTCACCCAGCATCGAAGGTTGAGGTTATGTAAATGACTCTGTTCCCAGTGGAACATAGAACTTAGACGGCACATCTCTGCTTTGCCCTATTTTCTCCTGTCCTCTTTAGCTGAACCCATGATTGCCCTCTATGTCACCTTCGGCCCCATGCCCCAGTCGTCGTTTCCCATTCGAGGTCAACTCGATAGATGCCCTGGCGTGCGATTTCGTCCATTGGTCTCCTCATAGTGTGCCCAATCGACCTCCATTTTCTTTCTACATATTTAATTACCAAACAATAATTACTAGTTTCTAATACAGTCTTATATGTTGCAGTGCTAACTGCTGTTTCATTCCTTTCTTTTATTAAAGATGGACTCCTTTTTGGATGCATTTTTTGCCTTGGATGTTGATAATCGGGAAGAAATATCTCTAAATGAATTAAGCGCATATAATAAGAAAAACAACCTGCAAGATAATTTCCCTGAAGTAAGTTGAAACAGACTTTTGTAATACAGTTGTTTTCCAAGGAAATGCTACTTATAATCATTCAATGTAATGGAATTTTTCCATGAATATAATTAGCAGTCGGTGGAATTACCTACATTTTTATTATTTTTGTGAAGAGTCTTCATTCTTGTAATTCTTAACTTCTTTTTAAACTGGATTTGATATTATTATTTTTCATACAGAATTCGAGACAATCTTTATGTTGCATTTAGTATTGGTCAGTTCAGTGTATTTGCATTTTAGTGAGTAATAATGTCTCCATCGGGGTTTGAACCCAAAATCATCGTGTCAAAGATAAGAAGTTGCACTCTATGAAGCAGGTAACACTTTTTTCCGTTGTCTGTCTTACTGGATTAACATGATCAGTTTCTGTTGGCACGGTTACATCAAAGATATCGTTCATCTTAATCAGGCTAGTATTAAAATCAGTAAGACTGCTCTGATGGTCCACTGGCAGAATACTCCCCAACTATGCATATGGTCTGAGTTCAGTCCCTGACTAACACATATCTAAATCTCGCTAAGCCGGTAGTAAGCCCGGTAAAGAGGGAAGGTTTGGTGTGAGGCTAGTAAACCCACCCCTTAAAAATAAAACTACTGCTATCGAAACCTCAAAGCTCAAACTTGAAACCTTATGTTTAACTGGGAACGTGAGGAAATAAAGGAATTCCTAGTACAGACTAAGCCACCGTAACATATAGTAAGAGAATGAAAATAGCTTGAAGTCAGTTGCACACAACCAGTCTTCTTGATTAGTCGGAACAAGGAAAGAACAAACATACTTGCAGTATAATAAGAACTCGTTTTTTTGGCGGTTTTTTTCAGTTGCGTACATCCTAAATAATATCGAGATACAAGTCACAAAAGATGCGAACATACTTTCTTTACAGTGATGTTGAGTTATGGATACAAAGTATAAGAAGCATAATTCCCGAAAAAATGCAAGTAGACAAATTATTCAGTGTTAACAGACTAAATATTTAGAGTATAATTAATTAGACTGGAGTTGGATAGAGTCCAGATTTGGCTTGCAAAACAACGACTGACTCTAAGATGAATACAAGATTGTACAATAGAGTAAATTTATACAAATTATAATGAAAAGTTCAAGAGGGTGGTAATGAATAGCAAAAGGACAGTCATGATATAGAAAAACAATTAAGGGAAATTGGAAACTCAAATATTGAGTTCAACTCAGTAAGTGAAAATCAAAATCAATTGGAAAAAACTAGACAAAAGCACACAACGATTACAGTTACCAAGGTAGTGAGAGACTTATCATACACCTTTCTGTACATAGAAGTTCTGTCGAAATGGCTGCTGCGAAACGAAGTAACCAGGGTTTTCTAATCTGCCTAGTCACATCATTTTTTTGCAGAATTATGTTGCTAAACTTTCTATACATAACTAGACGTCACTGTGAGAAAAGTATGCTCAGAAATTCTGTAACTATTCCTTCGATATTGCTTAAGATTTACGCAGTTGAGGAAATAAAATGATCTCTTATTATCCTGTTAATATTGTTACAGCAGAAGGCGTGACACGGAAGCCAAGGTATATTTTCAATTGATCAAACCGCGATTTTATATATATATATATATATATATATATATATATATAGTTTATATTCTTTAACCAGTCACTGAGCCTGTGATTTTGGCATACATTAAACAACATGAAATAGAATGCCGAAGCATATTTAGTAATCTGTTGCTAACTCAATAATGAACTGTGGGAATATGTGAGAACAATATTCCGTTGGAACCCATTGTTTGTATCACACCGCCACATTTTGAAATAAATTAGCTTCACTCGAGAGACCAATAGAAATTTCAGAACCATTAGTCTCTATGGTAATAATAATAATATCGCTTGAAATGATGTTGAATTCTTCGTCTTTAAACTATGAAATTCAGAGAATATTTGACGAGTAGAAACACCAAGTCAACTTAACTGTTAACTGAGTAAAAACATTCCAGCAGTCAATAGGAGAATCTGAATTTTTTCTTCTAATTTTTAGATGATAAGTTTTCAAAGGTTTCATTGTATAACAACTTTTTTCCTAAATCAAAAAGGAAAGATGTCTGACCTATAATCCCCTTACTTATCACTACTGAAGTTATTGCTTTCCTCATGATTACTTTAAATAATTTCAGAAATGCAGTTTACGGCTTTGTAATTTCAAAACCTTAGCTTCAATCTGATGATAAAATGTAAGGTAGTTATAAACGACTAAGAGATCAAAACTGACTGAGATCTGACTTCTCGCATTCAGAGATATTGATGTCCTGTCGGGAAAATGAAGGACTTATAAAGAGGTGACCTTTGCCAACCCACTCAATTTGATTAAGTTCGTAATAAGGGATTTAATAAGTGTCTGATACATACATGCACAGAGATTTGAAGAATTACTAATAGAACCTACACGTAAAGAAACCATGATCATTTAGAACAAAGAGATTTAGATGTCTCACTGTCATAAACCTCATACTAATCCGTTCATTCAGTTGAGTTGATGTCTAGAATATTCCCGTTTAAGTTTTGTTTTGTAATTAGGCTGATGATACCAACTAGCATTCACTTCAATAGAGCACAGGTTCAATCACTAGACCAATTCAGTCAGCAATTTTTAATTCACATCTGCGAACCGTACTAGCTAAGTATGTGTGATATGTACAGTTTGATATGAAATTTCGCTGTGATTTCCGTTGGGAACCAAAACTGCTCAGATCGCAGTATACGATGTGCTTGACACCAAAATGATGTCCAATTTTGAAGAATGAAAACCCCACGATATCTATTATTGATTCGCAAAGTAGTCGTAGACTTCTCACGCCTGTAACTGGTAATCTCTAGTTAGAACAAGATCATCTAAAGATCCTGCAATCACTTTACTAGTTTGGGATTGACATGATTCTATGATATGAGTCATTCTGGGTAAAATGAAACTGATATTAACTTTTGAAGAGTAGAACAATCTCAGGGAATTTTAAGCAACTAATGGCATCGTATCTTTTTACCTTTTACCAGACATTTCTTCGTCGTTTCGATGCTGAAAAAACTGGCGTTGTAACATTGGATCAATATTGTAAAGCACTAGGTCTTGTTCCTAAAGAAGCGTAAGTTCTCTTAAACACTAATGTATTTTACTTTGTTAAGTTTAATTGTGTATTTACTTCCCAAACTACACCATATTCCATGAATGTAAGTCATCTGGACTAGTGTTAAAATCACTACAAGAAAATATTAAGGCTAAGAGAATAGCAGACAGTTACTATCCTTAAATTCTGATCTGTTTGTTGTATCTTCGTTTTGTTGTTGTTCTGCGAAAACTGTAAGTATAAGTAAGTTCGCATGAATCAAACACATAATCTGGGTGACATTTTATATGGTTAATAAATTTTTTTTCTGTTATGGCCTCAACTAACAGCATTTTGAAAGAATACGTCTTCTAAATGCTTTTAAGATTTAAGTAGTATAGGGACCGAAAAGAAAAACTGACAGCTTACATATCCATCTTGTGAATAAGGGAATCATTGCGCGGATTAGTGGCCTGGTGTTAAGCAATGAAACTGTCAGGACTTACAGTTCAACTGAAGTTAATTAGTCACGTGTACTTTGTAAGTCTGATGACGTAAAACAATCGATTTGATATCTGTTTGATGTATAAATTATGGCGGAATCAACACTGAAATGTTTAACTGAAAACCTTGAGTGTATTTAATTCGACGTGTCAATGTTAAAAATAGATTTATACATGAACATGCCAAGAACTAGACAGAGGCTATAACCTTTCACTGAGCATATTAATGATCTATAAATAGGAGATATCGGTAATCAATGAAATACTCTAATGAGATTTATTTTTCTACACGACAATCAAACCGTAAACTTCTATCACCGAATTACATCTAAATGAATTTCAGAATACAGAAGGCCTCCAACCGACTCACTGACTTTTATACATTCCAAGTTGAAACACACTGTTGACGAAATATGAAAGTTGTCATTAGAATCACATAACCAAGGAGTCTTGTATTAAAGGATAGTTAAAAAGAAATTGAAGGAAAAATATCAACTGGATATTTTGAATAATAAACGTAAAATTGAAGCTATATCTAGTACAAGGGTGAAATCGAATGAATCCTTAAGACTGTACTTTATTTAAATTTGAAGGCATTTCACAGAGTTCACCAGCTTCGTTTTCCCCATTCTTGCAGTTTATCAAAACACTGTCGTTATATTCTGAGTATATTATTGTTAGCCTTAGATGTTTCCATCATATCTGCTCCAAAAGTGGAATGGATCTTACGGCAACACTATCCACTCAACAGCAAGAACTCCTTAGTGGTAAATGAATCTTTTTCGTAAACTCACCACTGTAAATCACATTCAGATGAGAAGGGATAAATGATAGTTAGCTCTTATTATTATTATTGTTTCCTTTAATTCCTAGAGGAACATGGGGTTTCAGCCGTACGTCTCCATTGCGTTCGGTTCTCTGCCATTTTCACCTAGCTCCACCTCTACCCACGTGCACTTGTAGCCTGTGTTAATCCTTGCTATATGCATCGCTGTAGAGGTCTAATCATTTCCCCTTTGAAAGCATTTGCTCCAGGTTGTGTCAATCCAATCGGTATTTTATAATGCACGTCACTAATCGTTATGAAGCTGTTTTATTCATGGTTGTGGCTTACAAATGACAAGGGTAGCTGACATCAGAATCAGAGTGGAACATTGCAATGAGTGGTGGTGCATCTATAGAGGATGCGACTCTCCCAATAAGTACACACAATAGGAGGACGGAATAATGCTAGGATAGAAGAGGATGAGTGAGACGGAGAGAATAATTCAATGAAAGCTTTCAGCGTGTGGAAGTTGTTTAGAAGTGGATGCATCTGTGACAGTGCTAATAACAACTTTTAATCATGTCATCGAATGTCTCCAACCTCTGATTCTTAGTGTGACGACGAACCAAGTCAAGCCAGGAAAGGCAATCTACATCTCCCTGAGTGGCTCTCACACCAACAGTCACTGCCTTCACCGTTGTCGGTTCGTCGATATGCGACTCGATAGATGCCAACAATAGACTGTACTTTTCTCAATGCCACAGCTTCCCTGCTTCAGCACTGAGACCGCTTGGCATGGCCCATCGGTTGAAAGCCAGTGCTTAGGCCAATTAAGCACACCTCCATTGTTCATTAGTAATTCATGCATTTCACAAACAATATGTTTTAATACTCTCTACTTTAATGATACTCCGATAATCTGTCAATGATGTCTCATTGAAAACCTTACATGACATGTATAAGTAATTTGAACAACACAATTAAGAAAAGACAAACTAATATCTACGAAAACTTCTATTATATCTCATTTAAATGAATGATGACTGCATGATCACTGACTGACGGAGATGAAGGTGGTTGATTTCCAGGAAATCTTTGTGTACTTCTGGAATTTCAAGGGTGGTTATTACTTCTCGGCTCCGCACACCGGGGAAGTTAAGTATTTTCTTAGCGTAACTGCGACAGAAAGGAAATCATTGTTTTGTGACTTCAGAGCCCAAGGGAAAACTGCTTCAAATCGGCCACATAATGTCTGTTTCCATCGGTTTTTATGGGTGTTTCCGTATCAGGACCTTATCGCTGGTTACGGACCCCCGTAGAGTACAATTATCAAAGTCGACCTTTCTTAACACCCTCACTCTTTATACTGGTGAGACAATGCAGCACAACTGGAATGCTGGTCATCTGAGGGAGACACCTTACTGCTATTTCATCTCTGTTCCCAAACAGTACAAATTTTCCCACAGACGCTAAAATGGTGTAAACAGCTTTCACTACGATGGTAACTCTTTTTAGTCTAACTGATATCCTAACAACCTTTCTGGCATGCTTGAACCTTCATGAAAATTAGTTCCAACCACTGTAGCCTGTTGGTTCATTGCAGTATGCAAGCCTGTCCACCAAGTCAAAGCAGCAGATATCGGCGGGGATTGTATGATCAACGAAAGGAAACTATCCAAATCAACTTGATGCATCTCATCAAGTTATTATGCTTCATTTATTTACGAGTCCTTTTAAACACCAATGGTTTCAAATATTCTAATTACTAGGTGCAGCGTACTCTGAAGTATAAGCTACAGGAAGAAGATACCCCTTTTTGTCATACTGACTGATGACGACAATTAATGCATATTTCATATTTTTATGCACACTTATGCATGTTATAGTAAGCATAATAAATAAATTTTGTTTACCAGTTTCGTGTTATTGGGGTTCATCATCTGGATGTACCTGATCCAACCAAAAATAACTCCACGTCACTCCCTAGACATCGCTGAAGCGTTCACACTAGCAGCCGACATGTGGACAGAGACCAAGCATTTTGGTCAACCAACTTTATCAATTATTGGAAAATGTAAAATTTAACTTTAAAAGAACCTAAAATAAATGTCTTGACGTATGACATTAGTTACCACCAAATGTCCAACCAAAGTATCCAATACTGTCCTACAGGAGGTCAATCGTGAACCCGAACAGCTCACTGGTAACATCTCTGACTGCAGTACTGTGTGACACAGGTTCAAATCTCAGAAGGGATATGATATGATTATGAGCAGTAGTTTGTGCTCGAAACGTCATCAGTTAATATTACTGTACAACACTGTGTGATTTATCGAAGTGAAATCTTATCCATAATGGAGTTATACTCTACCACACTGCCCAAGTTTCATCCTTATACCAAAGAAGGGATATGAGTTCCTTCAAAATTGCAGATATTCCTTATCGACTAGTTAGTGCCAACAAGCACGGAACCTAACCCCGTGGGTTCTTGCCGACTGCCTACAAATATCTAGTAGAGAATCGTAATACTGTTTGCATACATAAATGCCTTGTTTGAAATACCACTTTTTACAGAAGTCTATTCATTAGTGACTCAGTGTTTCAATATATTGTCTAATAATACTAACAAGCAATAACCTAGTATGAAGACCCATAGGAAAAATAAGACTAGTGATGGAAATAACAAAAATAATAACATAGAATTCAAAGCCTTTGAAGTATTGCAGTATAAAAAAGAACCATCAGAGGCACTACGTAGGATTTTCAATGAGCCTGGAGTTTAACTTTGTTGGCTTAAGGACCCAGTAGATCCAATTAAGGAAAACAATATAATTTATCAAATACCATGTAATGACTTTGAGGTCAATTACATAGGTTGAACTAGTAGATCGGGGTCAACTAGATTATTGAAACAAACATTTAGCTAAACCTAGAATAAATGGCACCGTTAAGTCTAATAACCTGGAAAAAAGATCAGTCATTGCATTGCATTTATCTCTGAGTAATCACTCAACAGGCTTGGACAAGATAAAAGTATTAAAAAGGTAATAAAGTTGGGTGGAGAGACAGGTTAATCACTGAAATTTTGTTTATGGACTAAACTCCGCACACTTGTAATCGAAATGATGCAATATTTGTACCGGAAATACGGAAAGTTGCAACGAACAGTATATGTATATATATAAGGCCAATTGTGAAGCCATGTGATTAAATCCATATGATCATGAGGAATTATGGAAAATACCCATTGAGTCATAAAGAAAATAAAAGACAGATTCAGCTAAGAAAATTTTCTTTATCCATGAAATCATCTTCAGAGGCTGTACAGTAGTATTTATACTTACCGAAAAATATATGGTGGTCTATTATTGAGTAATAGGGAGTGACATAATTTATATAATTACTCGGAAGTGGCTTTAGAAGTGAAAATTAAAAGTTGTAAATTACATGGTACTCAACGGAACAAAGATAGAAGTTTGATAAGGTTGATTACTATGTAATTTACAACTGTTAATTTTCACTTCTAAAGCCACTTCCGAGTAGTTATGTAAATTATGTCACCCCCTATTACTCAATTATAGACCACTATATATTTTTCGGTAAGTATAAATACTACTGTACAGCCTCTGAAGATGATTTCATGGATAAAGAAAATTTTCTTAGCTGAATCTGTCTTTTATTTTCTTTATGAGGAATTAGTTTGTGCACGGGAAATCATCCAGTTATTAATACTGCATCAGCATGTGGTGTTGCAAATTAATTTATCTAATATGGTATTACTTTCTACCGCAGCTCTCAAGTTTCACATTTACATTAGAGTATGTTCGACTCATCCTTCCATAATTTATCATTACTGCTATCATTATTCTTTATTTTAAATTTTATTTAAGGCGGGAACTACGAAGACGACGTACAACACAAATGTTTGAACATTTATTACCGCGTGATTTAGAATTTATTTATGATGATATGGATTTAGAAATGAAAGTTAAAATAATGGAATTATTTATTAATGATTTACGTGAATCTGGTCGTAAAACAAACGTAGACATGGAGTTATTAGACAAAGCAATGCAACGTTTAAAAGAATATTTTGATACACGTTATGGGAAATCATGGCATATTGTTGTGTCAATTAATCAGCATTTGGCAAGATTTAGTTATGAACCAGGCACATTATTGCATTTCTGCTTAGGACGTTTCGCTGTGTTAATATGGAAGACACCATGTTCAGCTTAATTAATTAACTAATCAATAATTAATCAAAAAAGATTATTATTATTATTAATACTACGCGAAATCATTTATTCTATAAATTAAATTTGTATGTGTAATTCTCCTTCCACCTTTCTTGTGGTATTCAATTTTCTTAAATTTGTATGAACCGCCTTCTCTACCTGTCTGTTTTGCTAATCTTTTCTTCTTTTTTGTTATTGTTGTAATAATAATTAAATGATTTCAATTGCTTATGTATTTCATTAGATTTCTGTGGTAATTGCTTGTGTTAAACCTTGAATATACGATGCATTGAAATAACCTCAAGCAGCTGAGGGTGCTCCTCTGTCTACAAGGAGACACGAACAGACAAACACATGAATAATACAATCTTATGCACATATTACTATGATAACAGTTATTGTGATGAATGAATGTCACTTGACACAAACATTATATGCCACGCATAATTTTCTTTACTGTTCTGTTTTTATCAATATCTATCTTGTTTAGCTTTGAATAAATTGATTAAGATGAAATCGTAACGATGAACTTCTTTACTTTTTTCTATCGTTATGGAATCCATAGCGAGGACTTGGTATTAGTACTGTATACCAGTGCGATTCATCATAGCTTATTTTGGTAACACAAAATATGCATATAACAACATGTGGTATGTTTGATATCATATCCAGTAATCGAAATAGTATATTGATGGAAACTATTTAACTGATATGCGCAGTTGGGAACTACTCATGTTAACTGGTGTGTGTGTGTGTGGCTTTTTTAGAGTTATACTTCTCATTTATTGAAAATGTTCGCTAAAAACGCAAAAGACTGATTAATGAACAGAAAGTGTTCTTTCCAATAAATTCGTCAACCGGTTTATGACATTTATTTGACAGTAGTAATCAAAGACATATTGTTATGAACAACATTAATGCTATTTTAATTTACATCCGACCAATAGTATCGATAGGTGATCACAGTTCAAAAGCATCAGTAAGAGAGAGAGAGAGATAATAAGCATGAATACAAAAACACTAAACTTATTGAACACCAAACAAATTAAGGGAAGTAAGAAAGAATTTATGAAATTATAGGCTCGATAGCAGACCAGGTTAGCTATAGTGGCTGGACCTACTTCTTTTGTACACACAGCTCCAGTCGATTTAAAGGCGAATTGCAATAGCCTCTGCTGTTTGGACTCTTCGACATCTAGACGCTTCTGGCAATTGATCTGATACCTGCTGGACGTTAGGGATAGACTGTCCAATGCTAGCTTTGTAGTAGGAGGTTGTTCAACACAGAAATCTTCGCTGTTTCAAAATTACCTCTATTTAGCCCTACTGTTAAGTGATACCGAACACGTAAAATTAGGTCTCTAGAGCAATGGGCAGTATAACTGGATCCACAGGGGCATCTGGATTGATAGATATAACTGACTGACTCACTGACTGGTTTCAGCATACAACTTTGCAAGGATGTGCAGCAGTTCGAGTTGCCGATCTCCCTCCATGTATCACACAAACCAAAAGAAGAGATTCAAAACAGAGATAGTATGCAGAAGTGTAAGGGGTAAACAATATCGATATGGAAGAACAATTAAGCTTTATTGGGTATTATAAATCATAAAGAATGAATCCATCTTCACCATCAATAAGAACGATTTTGAGCCATATTATCAATTGTCTCGAGCTTTCATTGGTTCTTACCATCCCGAGGACCTCAACCAGCCACACGGTCCACAACTCCCTACGTGGCTGGCTGGCTGGCTAGCTTTAACTAACTGTTGTAGATTTCATTAACTGATGAGGCTGTGTCTTGATTTGACCAGCACTAGCTCTTTTCCAACCTGATCAATCTTATTTCAGCTGACACTGACCGTTGGTCACTGAAGGCGATGGCTAGGGATCCATACGCAACACATGTCCTAACCATCTCCATTGGTGTAACTTCACAAAATCGTCGACTGATTTCCCCTCCCTCCTTACTTAGCACTCGACCGAAGGCTAACCTCAATATTACTCACTAACCACCTAATACTGGAGAAAGAACGCAGGAATGTATGATCGAAAACAACCAGCAAACCTTTTCATATCTTCCACTTCCAATGGTCACGTCTCACATCCATAAAGGAGGAAAGAGCGAACTGCTGAGTAGTAGACACACCCTTTGGTCGATACCAGATATCACGTTCCCGCCAGAGGCGGCGTAATCTGGCATATACTAAACGAGCCTTCTGTATCCGTGCCAAGATTTCGTCAGCGATCAACCCGCTGGGACTGATTCAAATTCCTAAATAAGTGAAGTGGTCGACACGCTCCACAAACCACTTCACTCCCTATATTTGACCTAGGAGTGAATGTAGTTCAGTCCTCTAGCACCATCTTACCTTTGCGAGAGCAAATTGCATGCCAAACATTCTTAGATTGCTCCTTAAGGTGTTCAGAAAACTCTGCATTTTATCAGCTCTGTGGGAACTACAAGCTGCAGCTTACTGGTAATAAACGTTATTTGGATCAATACCCTCAACTTGTTGGTTATTGTTTCACTGGATATATCACTTTTGAATTGTAGTCGTATACATAGAGGCTTCTTTTAAACAGATACAGAAGAATTTTCTTCTACTTTACCAGCCATATGTTTAGTGATGAATTTTCAGGGTAACTGTTTTCAATTAACGTGTCGTGTATAACTTTACGTTCGTCCCCAACAGCAACTTCTGCTGACGTGAGTTATAACTTATAATGAGACTGATTAAAAATGTAATCAGTAGTAGATCTCACTTGCATTGAACAGTGTCTTTATTGGTGCTTATTCATATGCATACCTTCAAGATAACCTGGAAAGCAGCATTCTGGCTTTCAAATAGGATAAAACTGTTTTTCATAATTTTAGAGATCGAAGTTTATTCACCTAAATGTTGATTAGATTACAGAGCTATGCATACAGAAACTTGTAAAACAGGAATATGGTGATTGGCCTATGATACAAAATGACTGCAAAGACTTGCAATCAATATTATGTCACAAGTCACTGACGATTTAACAATATAGCAATCATTTTCAAATAAGGTTAGATAAGAAGACTTGATCACAAAGATCAAAGGATAAAAGTACTTAAATACGTATTGCTCTAAATGTAAGATATTGTTATTAGCCTTTTCTTAGTTCAGACAATGACTTCACTGCCATGCTCTTACACTAGTCCTATTCATATTTAATTAGGTTAATTCGTTCAAATGTAATTTCGTGAACATCTGAATGAGTTAAGACAGTGATAGGCCACTCCTTAACCTATCTCGCCTATTACAATAAGGACATTGATTATGAGTGGATGGCAGCATGGAAACAGGGATACTTCATGTCCATTTTTATTGGAAGGTATTAAGTATGTAAGTACACATTAGTTATGATTTCATATTATTACTTATTTTCATTCCCTTTGGTTCCGAATAGAATGTAGGACTTCGACAGCACATCTCTATTTCACTCTCTTCTCTGCAGTCCCCTTCGGATGACTCAAAGGCTGTCCGTAAGCTCCCATCTCTTCCTTCTAACACAATCTCCTCAATGTCACTCTTACGTGTAGATCTGAGTCGTCATTTCCCGCTGATGTTCCACTCGAACTATTGTTGGGTGCAGAAGATTCCCAAACTGATTTCTGAATGATAAAGATCTGTCTTGTCTATCCGATTCTAGTCTAGACATTGTTATCCGTGCTTGTAACGATGCACCTACATAGGCGAAGGAAGTGACTCCTTTCAGATTTCCCGCGTTGATAGTGATTGGTGCTTCATTTTTTTTAGCTGTTGCTTGGTTACTTTCATTATATCCGTCTTCTCTTTGTTCATTTGAATTCATGTCTTCACTAAGTGCCTCTTCTGTCAACTTGTTAGTTCTCGCCTGTCTTTTAATTTACACGACATTTGAGATAGATTATCCGCAAAATTCAGATAGTCTAGAGTCTTCTTATTGGTCCAAAGTATCCCTGTCTTGCCTCTACTCATAGTATTCCACGCAATCCAGTTTACTAAAATTAGAAACATCAGTGATTTTAAGCAGCCTTGTCTTACTCCTGCATGCACTTCATAGGCTTCTCTGAGTTTTCCGCTGTCGATCTCCTGATACGTGACATCGTCGTATAGCCGTGGTTGAACGAGGTTGATAAAGATTTGGGGTGCGGTATTTCGCTAAAGTAGTTTCCAAGTTACTTCACGGTCAACTCAATCGAAGGCCTTTCCAAAGTCGATAAAGGCGAGGTATAGGTTTGACTGCCCTTCCATGTTTTGTCTGGTGATATGTCGAGTTAAAATTTGATCGTAAAATGATTTTCCTTTCCCGAATCCAGCTTGTTCTGTGGGGTGGGGTCCTGCATCCAGTGCATCTTATAGACTCTTCAGAATGACACGACTTAGTATTTTACTTGGCGTGAACTGGAGTCTTATTCAGCTTAAATTTTTGGCGGTGGCCTAAGTCCCCCTTCTTTGGTAGTTCGACAAGGTAGACTTTCTTCAGTTAGTTGGTACCTTTTCTTTCTTCCAAATTGTCTGCGATAGTGGTGTGAGGATATCCGTTGCGGCTTCTGGGTCCGTTTTCAGTGCCTCAGGTAGAATTCCGTCTGGTCCTGCAGCCTTTCCGGACATTAGTAGCTTTGTTGCACTGAAGACTTCTGCTTTTATCAGGGCACTGATGCCAACTAGCAGTTCTGTGGCTGTATTTTCGGACGATTTGCGGGTGATGGCCTATTTACGGGTCCTTTAAAGTGATCATCCCATTGTTTTATTTGTCTCTCCACCTTGGTAATTAGGTTTCCTTAGCAATCTCTCATAGGTTTCACCTGCATCGATCCTTTCCAGAAAGAGACTTGGTTATCTGATATAATTAGCCGAGGCCTCTTTTACCTGAAGCCTTTTTGTTCTCTTTCAGTTGAAAGCTAATGTGTCATACAATTGTCATTTGTCTTTCATGGCACTTTTCACTTATTTAATTAGTGTGACATACAATGAGCTCAGCTTCTCCTTCTGTTGTTAATCTTTGCATTAATTCATTTGTCCCACCATCATCCCTTCTGTTAGCTTCCAGGTGTCTGTTAAGAGCCATTTCCTATCCCAGCTCTTCTATCTTCATACAACGGTTGCACACGTTTCCACGAACATCACCTTCAGAGTGTTCCAATGTTCTTCCAATCAGGTTTCCTCAGTAATGTTATGTTATGTCTCCGAGTTTGCTCTGATGGCTGTGGTGAAGGTGTTATTTGTAGTTTTGTCTTTCATTTTCTGAGTGTCGAACTTGAATTGTGGTCTGTCTCCTGCTACTTTTAAGACTTTCATCTTAACTTTGAAGGTCTCTTAAATTAGATGATGTTCTAGGCACACATCTCGATTTCCTGCCTAGTGGGCTGCATCTCCAGTTTCTTGAATTTGAGAAGACGTCTATCTGATTTTTGGTGTGCCCACCAGGTGAAATTCATGTTGCTTTGTGTATATCCTTGTGCTTGTACACGCTATATCCAATCACCGAATCGCTGAATGCATAGAGGTCTGAGAA